GGATACAAGCAGCCAAAATGAGTTTCTCTGCAGGGTGGTTGGTCTCACCCTTAGAGATAGGGTGAGGAACTCGGTCATCCAGGAGGGGCTCGGAGTAGATCTGCTGCTTCTCCGCATCAAAAGGAGCCAGTTGAGGTGGCTCTGGCATCTGGTTAGGATGCCTTCTAGACGCCTCCCAGTTGAGGTTTTCCAGGCACGTTCAACTGGGAAGAGACCCAAAGGAAGATCCAGGACACGCTGGAGGGACTATGTTTCTCAGCTGGCCAGGGAACGCCTTCGGATTCCCCTGGAGGAGCTGTCCCAAATGGCTGGGGAGAGGGAAGCTTAGGCTGCTGCCCCCACGAAACAGACTCTGGATAAGTGGAAGTGAATGGAAGGATAGATGCTGTTTTCTTATATTTGACTTGTAATTTTGTGCCACGACAGTTCAAATCAACCACAGTTAAACTTTTTATGAATTTGACTGTTTTTCATGTAATTTAACAAAAACAAATGAATTTTCCTTTACAATAACTGTTCCTAAAGTAATGAAGAAAAGGAATTGCTGGGTTCTTCACTTGTGTTTTAAATCCTTTCCAACAAGATGTTTCTGAAATGTTTCAAAAACCAGACACTTGTCCCATCCATGTTAGTGAACGAACTATTTCAGCAGATTTATTTGTGTTATCTTTATACAGCTTTTACAAAGGCGGCTCAGAAAAATCTGTAGTTCCTAAAATCCATCCAGTGGTTTAGAAAAGGATTTTTTTTTCTCTGCTGACCACAAAGAGCTATGAAACAATACGTGAAACTCAAATTTCCTCACAAATGGTGCTCATGGTTTCCACTTCCTGTGAGTCAAACAACAGCAGAAAACAAATCTCACAGTTAAATCTGACACAGAGTGAGCTGGGAGCAAAGTGAACGGAGCTCAGAGAAAGAGTGTGGTTCTGTCAAAATAGGGTGGTGAGAGCAGGGAGCGAGCCCAGTGCCTCAGACACACCGCTGCTGCTGAACAAGCCCATCATGCTGCAGGCAGGGCTGCTGTCAGAGCTGGGGTGGGGGGGGTAGTGTGTTTATTGCCCGCATGTAAATGATAGGCAGTACATCCGTCTGTGAGCTCTAACAAACCCTCTGGCTGTTTGGTGCTGATGAGAGCTGACAGGAGGTGTTCTGGGAGGAGCGGTGGGGCAGAGCTCTGAGTTTGGATGCTACTTAACCCTGAGAGGTGAGGAAAGGAAACAAGGCTGAGTGGCATGTGATTGTCTGTGTCACATCTCCACTCCTCATCTCTGTCCATTGAGCTGCAGGGCTGTGGGAGGTAAAAGCTCGTGTCACATTGTGAGCTGGTGTGGTCAGGAAGGACGAGATGGGACCTGACAGGTGAGAGGGAGGCAAGCGCCCTCCTCTTGGCTCTGGTAATGCTCCTTTAACCTCCATCCAGGATCAAACACTGTCACATCATCAAAGGAGAAGTCCTTCCACCTGCTCTGGCGGTCGGTCCATCCTAAATGTCTCATCTTCAACTAAACAAACAGTAGTGGCTGGGGTCCTTGTTCCACTCCTTTCAGACATAGAAACCCGTTGAAGGTGCCAAGCCTTAACACTAATAGTAGGGATGTAAGAGGAAACTAATACTCTGAAATATGGCAATATTTCGTGTTATGATGCTGAATCAATATTTTAAGGAACACTGAAGTTTTGGCTTGCTTTTAGCACCCCCAGTGTTCATTTAAATTAATGGTTGTAACCGAAACTGCTGTACTCTCCTCCTCTTGGCCATTTGTGTTTAAAGGTCTTAATGTAAGTGCTGAAATGTCTCCTCAGCCTTCATTAGTTTGTACAGGAGTTGTTCACTAAATCAAACTAATCAGCTGTGTTCACCATCTAAAACATGTAGGACACATGCTGGAAGCAGACCCCAGCGCTAGCATGTCAGCTAGCCACGTTACTGTTGACAACAGAGTTCATGGTAAATAAAATGACCAAGAGCCTGAGAGGAGGAATCATGTGACCACAAGAAAAGGTTGTAGAGTGTCAGCAAATCCAAATGCAGATTATTTTAGTTTCATCAGATAAATATTTTCTTTGTCTCTTCTGCGGCTCCACCACGATGAACCCATTACATTAGTAGTCGACTAATCGTGTCATGCATAACTGTGTAGCTTATTGCAGCAGGACGCTCTAATATACCCATCATTAGCTTCTAGTTTGGGGTGTGATCAGTTATGTGCTATCTAATATTAAAGACAACATAATAGCTTATCAAACAGCCTTTAATTAACTTTGAAGCCTGTTAATACAAACGCTGCTGTCAAACTGAGGTAGGCACCTAAACCAAAAATAAATTGTACACAAAAATGACAAATGTATCCAGCTAAAATAGTGATTTTTGTCTCAGCAACAAAACAGTCTGTTGAAGAGGAGGAATGTGTTTTTTTTATCACTGTAACGTAGCGAGATAAAATAAATCCTAATGTTAAAGCAAATATGTGATGAAATGACCATCACTACTGTTGTTGCTACACCTATGAATACAAGCAACTCTTTGTTAGCGCCTACAAAGAGGTAATTAGTATACAGAGGTGACTCTTCGTTTACCGCCACGATGGGCTTCCTTTCAAGGTTAGGGTCGCCGATGTGCTCCCATGAAGGAGAGTTTCATTTAGCAGATTTTACACTGTATGTGCTTCTCTTGTCTTTGTAAAATGCTGCCAAACGTTTGAGCTACGTTGCCGGCTCACCTTGGTGTCTCTGGTGATTCTGATTATAAATCCAATCCAGATGACCACTACTGCACATGTGCCTCGAGCTGAAAGGCAGAAAGCAGCCACCAAAGGTGCCGCAGCAGGCGATGAAGAAAAGCTCAGAATAAACGCTGTGTGGAAGCATATTTTATTTATTTATTTACCTATACTTTGAGGATTAACCACTTCAGATGAAGGATCTCGTTTGCAAGTGCATTCCTCTACCACCTTTATTCAGATGGAGCTATGAGATCCCAAGATACCACTGGCTGTGTCTGTCCTGAGTTTCCACTTAAATTGAGTCTTGAAACTTAGAAATATTGTCTGGCTTTTAGTATCACGATATATCGTCTCTCCTGTGTTGTGATTTATATCGTATTGCCACATTCTTGCCAATAGACATCCCTACTTAAAGATATAAAACAACATCTAGATTGAATATTGTGATTAATCAATAGAATCCATAGTTTTTCCATGCCAACATTGCTTTAGTATCATAAATAACGAAGAGGTGAAACTTCAATTCCAGAACACAATGTTAGCTCCATGCTACCTCCAGGACACAATGTTAGCTCCAGGACACAATGTTAGCTCCATGCTATCTCCAGGACACTCCAGGACACAATGTTAGCTCCACGATACCTCCAGGACATGATGTTAGCTCCATGCTACCTCCAGGGCACAATGTTAGCCCCATGCTACCTCCAGGACACAATGTTAGCTCCATGCTACCTCCAAGACACAATGTTAGCTCCATGCTACCTCCAAGACACAATATTAGCTCCATGCTACCTCCAGGACACAATGTTAGCTCCATGCTACCTCCAGGACACAATGTTAGCTCCATGCTACCTCCAGGACACAATATTAGCTCCATGCTACCTCCAGGACAGAATGTTAGCTCCATGCTACCTCCAGGCTGCAGCCCATGATGGGAAGTGAGCTGTTTAGATACAACCATACAAAATAGATCCCAGTGAATGATCTGTGTATGAAACAGATGGATCATTTGAAAACATTCCCACCAAAATTAAATGAAATCCAACTTTTCCCCCAGGTGAAGCACAATAAACGGTGATGCTTGCATTCGTGAAGCTCTCTGGTTGCTCATTCTGTTTCTCTGTGAAACAAATCCCACGAGGAAAGTTGGAGTACTGCGCTGAAGTTTGTCAGTTTTTTTCCGAGGCTGCCAGCCTTCCTAAACCTCTTCTCTGCATCCTCACCCACACAAGCTGGCCCTGCATGAACATTTATTTAAATTAAAACTCCAACTGACAAAAAGCTAGTTCCAATAATCCCTCCCACCCTTTGCTGGTTAATATCTGACCATTAAACTTTCTAACTGGCTAAATGAGACAACACAGAGTGGAAGCACAAACACCAGTAATTACTATTCAGGGACTTGAGGCGGGCTGCTGGGAGTGAAGTGGGGAATTCACATGCTGGAATGATGTGGGTGTTAGAAAAAGATCATTGCTGCTCATAACTGGGAAGTTTTCTGATCAGCGTGACTTCAATCAAAGCTTAAAAGATTCTCTACATGGAAATGATTCAGATCACAGATGAAACCATTACTAAAATTCACTTTAATGTTGACAAAACTAAAACACCACAGAAGAAGAAGTCTGGGAGGGTCGACAAAAGCCTGACGTTTCCAGCATTCAAATAAAAGTAAATCAGTTTTCACACAACACAAATCTGAACCTTTCCAAGAGCCCGACACAATCATCCTTTACTTTTTGTAATTCCACGCAGAGACAGACAATAAAAATGCTCTTTCTCTTTTAAGTTTTAAATACTTGAGCTGTTCAATATTTTAAAGTTACCATTTACTTAGAGTGAAACAATGGTGAAATCACATAACATAAAACTCAGAAAAGTTCAAACAAAGGCCTTATCCACGTCGGAACGGTTCTGTATCCATTATTATTCATATTTACATTCTTAATATCTCATTTTCACTTGTGTTTTTACGCACGTGTACATTCCCTCGTTTTTCCATAGATTTCCTTTACGGTCACATTTTAATTGTGTTTCTATGGTCGTGCTTTTCTGTTCAGAGGAACTTCACAGCTCTCATTTCTGGACTGTTGTGTCCGACGCTGCAGAAGTGAGACAGAGATTGTGATCCCTAACACACTACTTGCCAACAAAAACAGCTAACATTATGTGAGGAAAAGCTTTGTTGCCAGGACTGTTGTGTCTGAGTCTGCAGAGCCACAACTCTGTAGATATGCAGTGATTTTCTATTAACCTTTCTTTTCTGGTGCATACCTGTTTCCGTGTACGTGAGAGGCGCAGAAGGCGTAGCTGTAGTGTAGCAGCATGGGATCCACTAGAACATTGTTGTCTGCGTAGTCCATCAGGTCCTTCAGGTAGCTCAGGTGGCGGTGGCAGCCCCGAACACCGTACCGAGAGCAGTACTCGTCCAGAACAAACACCTGGCCCGGACTAAACCAACCCTGAAAATAAAAACAAAAGAGCAGCAGGTATGAACAACCCAAACCTGCTGTAATGGTGCGTCTCTCGTAGACATTCTAAGCTCTAATAAAAATAATTTGACATGATTTAGATTTCTCTTGTGTAAAAACCCTGGACAGTTTATCACAGCGTTAACTCATTTGCTGTCATTGACAACGGAAGTCGTGGGGCGGACTTGTGAACGAGCTCACACACCTTTAGAGTAAACATCACACCTCTAAGGTTGATCTTCATCTGTGTGTGTCACCCATCACGATCATGAAGCAGCATGAGTTAGGAGATCGCTTTGGAACGTCGCTATGCCTAAAGCGAGGCGTGAACTGGAAAAGCTTCTGTAGCTCACACTTCGACAGAACTGTCACACGGAAAAAGCTAGAAACACTCAGATTCTTCCTGATGTAAGAAGTGAGTCTACTCTCTTGGTAGTTTTGGTGTTTACATGATCATAGAGCACCATATTCCGTAACTCTTCAAAAAACAGTGAAAATGCTCAAAAATACTGGTAGTCGGGGGTTTTCTGATCAGATAACAGCTGGAAGTGAATGAGTTAATAACGAGGGACGCACCCAAATTAAAATTTTGGACAAAACCGAAAACGAAAAATGAGGAAAACAAGGCTGAAAACTGAAAGAAATTGTTACATCAATAATTAGAACCATAGCATTAGAAGGACTTAAGAATTAGCCTAAATTGCAATATTGCATTTAATGAGCCAAATATCATGAAGTTATTATTTAATACCAGAAGATGGTGCAGATGTGTAACTTCAATCTGAGTCTCCTCCGGAGGCTCCCGAATGAGGGGAGGAGGAGAGGTGACAGGCGGAGCACACCGGATATCGTTATAAATTAGAGAGTAGAAAATCACAACACTGACAGGTCTGTTCGTTGTTGACAAAGATCTTTGTCTGGTAACATCTGACTGCTTCCGAAGAGGAATACCCGCCCTCTGATGAAGATATTCACTTGTCCCGTGAGAAAGAAAGTGTAGCAAGAGAGAGTGTGTGCTTCATGAGAGTAAACAGGCTTCACACACGTGATCCAAAGTTTATTTCACCGTGTTCACGGAGGGTGTAGAAAGGATGGTAACAACACCGTTAATAGTGACAGACGTAGCGGGAATGTAAAAGATAAAAACTGGGCAGATGTAACACTGAAAGTAAAGCGTGCGTCACTTATTTTACATGGATCCTCCAGCAATCGTAATAAAACAGCTTTAGTAAAGAAGAAAAACTTTACTATTGGGATCAGTACCAATGTTCCATTTCTGTGAAGCAAAGAGCTAGCCTAGTGAACTAGACCATATTCTTGCTTTGCAAAGTTTGGTCTAGGCACGCTCCATTGGAACCTCTGCAGCTCCTACCAGGACTCTGGCTAGCCAATCACAACTCTCTAGAGGGGTTTTAAACACTTAAAGAGCTGTGATTGGTCCATAATGGTGGGCCAATCATAGTGCTTTATCCACTTTGTGGGCCAATCAGGGCACTCTATATGCCTGGTGGGTGGGATGATGCAACAGAGTGAAACAAGAGTATGTCACATTCATTGTCCAGTGGAATCCGGAGATCATTTAAAAGACAACGGTAGAACCCGCCCCACAACCGAGAGCCGTCAATGGAGCGTGGCCAGACTAAATAATTCATTTATTTAGTCTGGCCACTCTAACAATAGGAACAGCAGCTCTGAGTTTTCATACACATTAACAAACATGAATCTAGTTTGGTTCAATAAAATGAACAAAATGGCTCAAAACATTTACAACAAATTTGGGGAGTTAGAAAAACAAAAGTTATCCCATCAATTATAAAAACATCTGCAAGAGGTACGCAACTGAAGCAAAAAGCCCAAAAGGTGTCAAACTGGAACAACGAGAGATGTTCATTAGTTCATTCATCTCACATGTAATCAGTAAATTAGGCATGAAACTTTCAATGTTAATTAAGGATCCACATAGAAGGAATAACAAATTAGCACCTCCACTGTTCTGCCACACACACACACACACACACACACACACACACACACACACACACACACACACACACACACACACACACACACACACACACACACACACACACACACACACACACACACACACACACACACACACACACGCACGCACGCACGCACGCACGCACACACACACACACACACACACACTGCCCAACACTTTTGTAGTCCAGGTGATGGTTGGCAAAGCAGAAGAACATGCATGCGGGAGACGGTTAACATTTCTGAATCATTGGGCTCTGGAACATCTTAGGTGTGTTCTTGCTGTGTCTTTCTAAATCCATGCTTTTGTTCTTTTTTAAACACAGAAACAGGGCAGCCAAACCCGCAGATAAACGGAGAAGGAAGTGACGCGCCACCATCAGCGTCAGCCTGAAGAAGCCGGCAGCCGTCGGCGAAACTGTAGCTACAAACAGGTAAACAAAACTGTTTCTGTGTTTAAAAAAGAACGAAAGCATGGATTGGGCTCTGGGTTATTTACTGGACTGACCACCATTTGAGCTCCTTCTTTAAATCTGAGACGTGAAAAGATAATCAGATATCATAACTTAAGTTTGCATTCTTGTCTTATAACTTTTTCATCATCACTGGCCATTTATTATGTAATTATACAACAATATAACACAGGTAGTACCTAGATCCTCCATCAGAGGGCAGCAGACAAGCAGGTTTTTGAGGAAAGTACTAATCCTAATGCACAAAACATGGAAAAACACCAGCTAGACACAATAGATCCAGAACGTATCATCTTACCTTCTCTGCTGTAATTACCAACATAACACACCGACACTATGAAACTGTAAAACAATTCAGTTTGTTAGCAAACATGGTCTGGTGGTTTATGGTTTATTAACTTCAAAATCACAGCAGCTCAGTGCCACCAACAGTCTGGAAAACCCAGCGAACAACAAGAACATCCTCTGACTCGGTACCCCTCTCTCTCAGCTCGCAGCGCACATGTGCGCAAGCGCAAGCACCTACACGCACACACACACGTGCGAGTGCATACACACACACACACACACACACACACACACACACACACACACACACACACACACACACACACACACACACACACAGCCCACCCTGGTCCACATGGAGGGGTAAATGAAGATGGGGGAGGGGCGGTCAGAGGGCAGTTAGTTGGATGGATCAGGATCCAATAATTAAGTTTACAATGATTAATTGTAATTTATTACGTTCACAATGATTGTATGCAGTTATTCCAGGATTTGAAGTTTCAGAAGCGATCAGAATATCCCCTTTTTTTTTTTTACCAAAACACTTAATTGCCATGGACATGAAGAGCATTGCAAGCGAAAAGGCCAAGAACGTTCCATTAAACCATCACAGACCTTTAAAGAGCAAGTCACCACCTACCAGATTCTTACTCAACTCCCACTTCCTGTTTGAAAAATGCAACAAATGCTGTTGCCTAGCAGACCGAGAGGGCAGAGCCTCTAACAAATACACACACTCATGACATTGTAACATCATAATGTACCATCTAACATCATAGTGTACCTCTTAGCCAATAGCGACGGCAGATTTAAATTCAAATACAGTGCTGAGTTTTTACCTGACGACGGTGCAACACTGACAGTTTTAGGCAGAATATTTAAATTTTAACTAAGATGCACTAAAGTGCCGAATTATTGACTACACGTGTCTGCAGCACGATCAGACACTCATTTATATAGTTTATCAGGAAAAAAAAAGTTGATTTGGAGTGACTTGCTCTTTAAAGAGGTCTTTGAAACTCATGCTAGGTCTATAAAATAACATACTGTGTGGTAATCTCTAGAGAAAAACTGTATTGTACAACAGAAGCATTATTTTACACATACAAACACTCCTAAAAACTTCTGCTTGTGTCTGACTTCTCTGGAGTTTTGGCCTGAACTCTCAGACTTTTTAACTTTGCTCTTGCGCTGCCGTTTCTCTACTGTCCTTCAGCCCGGCTTCGTGTAGCTGCTACAGGGTTTCTGCCTGACGTTTCAAGTTTTCTCTTATTAAAGAAAACTTTTCACCATCCTTTTGCTATTTGATAAACGAGAGAATGGGGAAACCGTGGCTCAACAACACTCTGGAAAAGTTTTATAACTATTCCTGCAAGTTAATAAAATAAAAACATAAACATAAAAAACCTTAAGTGAAATGATTTTTGTTTCCATAAATGTATTTATACTTTCACTGACACGTGCTTTTGTATCTGGGTTAACGGTTTCTGGCAGATTGCTCCTCTGCAGGTCTCCCCCATCTCCACCCACCCTCAAATGCAGTTCTCTAACTCCTTGTCATCTGCTTTAGTTTCTTTCTTCATTTTCTTCTACGTCTGTGGGCACGAGCTATTAATATCACACCACGGAGCGAGAGGAGGGCTTGTCGACGGGAGCGAAGCGACAAGATGTTCCTCTGTGACAAACAGATGGCACACTCCAGTCTTGGCGCTGACCGCTCAATTAGCAGCTAACGAGCAGACTGCCTCGTTAGGTTTCCATTAGCCGTGGCGACACGTCTGCGTGTCAGAGCACCAGCGTCTGCCACCACCCTCTGAGGAATGGCACGACCCACGAAAAGTCAAAGCTGCGTGGTAGCTCTGAAGTAGCCAACACCTCTGCCTGTCTCGTCCACTGACTTCCCATGGAAGCACAGACTAGGATGCTTCTGTTTTTGTTTGTTTTTCTGACAGGTGTGGGAGTTATCAATTCCGAGCAACCATAACTTGTGATGCATCCAACATTTTGAATAATTTTATATCAGCGTTTACTTGCTCCATGGGTACTTGCACCATGGGTACTTGCTCCATGGTTACATGCACCATGGGTACTTGCTCCATGGGTACTTGCACCATGGGTACTTGCTCCATGGGTACTTGCACCATGGGTACTTGCTCCATGGTTACATGCACCATGGGTACTTGCTCCATGGGTACTTGCACCATGGGTACTTGCTCCATGGGTACT